GAGGAGGTTCACAACAATCGTCCCAGGAATGGAAAGCTTAACATATGAGGAACGTTTAATGACTCTGGGACTATACTCTTTGGAGTTTAGAAGGATGAGGGGGGATCTAATTGAAACTTGCAGAATACTGAATGGCCTGGACAGAGTGGATGTTGGGAAGATCCTTAAATTGGTAGGAGAGACTAGGACCCGAGGGCACAGCCTTAGAGTAAAGGAAAGACACTTTTACATCGGAAGTAAGGAGAAAGTTCTTCAGCCAGAGAGTGGTGAATCTATGGAATTCACTGCCACAGACTGAGATAGATAGGTTCATGATTATCAAGAGGATCAAGGGTTACGAGGAGAAAGCAGGAGAATGGGGTTGAGGAACTTATCAGCCATGATTGAATGGTGGAGCAGACTTAATGGGCCAAATGGCCTATTTTCTGCTCCTTTGTCTTATGGTCTTATGCTTGTTATTGCTACCAGATTTGAAAGTGAAAAGTTGATTCTTGGCTTCTGACAGTGCACCATGCCAACTCATTTATTGTCCACAAGTAACCGTGCACACAGGAGAAAAAACACAGATTGATTACTTAAAACTCAATACTGCAGGTCACACGCTATTCAGAAAAGCAGAGTCATAAAACACGTTGAGGTACATCTTGATGGTTGGACAAGAGGGTTTAAGGACTTCTGTAGACAATTTTCTCCACAAATAACAATTCCAAAAGGCACCTAAATGCCACCCAAAGAAATCTGGACACCACTCACCCAAGTAAAGGATCCCTGCCCCCCTAAAGATACCTGACAAACCCGCATCTCTCCTGCTTCAAAAGACCCTTGACTTCTGTCCTTGAGGTGTACTGGCATCAGATCTAAAGGGTATCCAAAATAATTTTGATCAAAATATTTAATATTTCAATAAACTTTTAAGGTGAGGAGGATGAGACTTTAGAGGGGATGAGAGGAAAAGCTTTTCATCCAGCGTGTTATAAATATGGAACTTGCCATAGAGAGTAATATGATATTACGGACTTCAGAACTTTACTGTTCATGGATTGAATGAATCAACAAAGATCAACTGTTATGCTTGAAAGAATCAGCAATAACTCTGCCTGAAATAAACTAGAAAAGGACAAGGACAAGGACAAACTTATTCAGGAATTGAAAGTAATTCGTCATGTCTGGCAAAAGGAGGAGATTACATAAACAAAACTGCTTTGACACCTGCTTGATAAACTGGATGTTTTATGCCACGAGGACAACTGATTGCCATGCATAAGAAACTAAGGAGTTAACTCTTGGAAACCTGTGTCTTCAAACAGTAAGTTAAGGCCAAATGGAACAAAGAACAAAGAAACTACTTCTGACAAGAAGGCAAGCTGCAGACTTGCTGTAATTTGAATGAAAAGACTTTAAAAAAATCATCAATAACGATTTAAAGGATGAAAATTTGTATAAGAATCAAATATCAGAACTTTGAAGAACAACACTGCATAAGGATCGAATCCTGGACACTTCTAGAGACAAACCACTGTTGGTTGAAATCCTGGCCAGATTCCACCATTGATTGGGTAGTAGCCAAGTTGGGTTTGAGGCTTAACTTGTTTACTTGACGGGTCTTATTTTGATTGCTGCATCCAATAATGTTCAAATCATTTTTTTAGTACTTGATTGTCTGTGACATTCCTTAACAAGTAGCTGAATTAAAGGTAACTTGTGATTTACCCTAACGGTGGTGGAGGTGGATACTCTTGTAACATTTAAGAAACATATCTAGATGAGTACTTAAAATGCTAGGGCATAGTAGATTATGTACCAAGTGTAGGTAAATGAGATTAGTATATTTGGTGTTTGTTGACCATTGTAGAGATGATGGGCCAAAGGGCCTGTTTCTATGCTGTATGACTCATTCACTCTCTATGATTAATATAGGCAGCACTAGTAAGACCAGTGTTTGCTTCTTATTATTTCCCTTGAGAAGGTGGTGATGCCCTGACTTTTTGATCCATTGCAAGGGAATAGGGAGTGCCCAGGAAAAGCATCTTAAAAGTGATTGCAGTTGGATTTCAGTGCTTGTCGAAAAAGAGTATTTGAGTCGTATTAATAAACTAATAACACAGAGATTTTTTCTTGGATGTCATGGGTTCGACTAACAGTTTGAGATGTAGGAGGGATTCCTTATCCCATAAGACCATTAAGTGTAGGAGTAAAAGTATGCCTTTTGCTCATCAAGTCTGTGCCACTAATTAATGAGATTGTGGCTGATCTGATAACCCTCATGTCCATTTTCCTGACTTATCCCATAAACCCTTGATTTCCTTACTGATCAAGAATCTGTCTGTCTAAGCCTTGAATATACTTAACAACCTATCCTCAACATTCCTCTGTGGAAAATCATTCCACAGATGCACTACCTGCTGAAAGAAGAAATTCCTCCTCCTCCTCTGTCTTAAATGGGCAACCTCTTATTGTGAGATTACACACTCTGGTTCTGGACTCACTCGCAAGGCAAAACAACTTGATAGAATCATAGAATACCTACAGTGCTGAAAAAGGTCACTTGGCCCATCATGTCTGCACCAAAACTCCAAAGACCATCCCAATCAGACCTGCTCCTCCACCATATCCCCTTAACCCCGCATTTACCATGGCTAATCCACTTAGACTGCCATCCCTGGATACCACGGGATAATTTAGCATGGTCAATCCACCTAACCTGTGCATCTTTAGACTGTGGGAGGCAGCCGGAACACCTGCTGAAACCCACGCAGATACAGGGAGAATGTGCAAACTCCATACAGACAATCACCCAAGGCTGGAGTTGAATCCGGCTCTCAGGTGTCATGAGGCAGCAGTGCTGACAACTTTGCCACCATGCCAGCCAGCAGTTTTCAGCATCAACTTCTAAAAACCCCTCCCCTCCCCAAAAAAAATGAATCTTCATCATTATTCTGAACTCCAATGAGTACAAACCTAATCTTCTCAACCTCTCCTGACAAGAAAATCCCTTCATATCTGGGATCATCCCAGTGAACCTTCTCTGGACTGCCTCCAATGCCAGTAAATGTTCAAATTCTGTATGTTCTTAGCCTGTTTGTTCAACAACACTTGACTAATTACCTGTTGTTGTTTTATCTATTTAAATGCTTGGGCTTAGATACATATTTCAGTGCCATTTTATGCCCATGATGTCCCCGTTTTCTGGTTAGCGTAAAGAGATGAAAGGAGGCGTTTATATTTTCTAAAGTTAAAAATCATTATTTCAACCACATTACCAGAAAGGAATGCTTGAATTCCTTAATGCATTTTGAAAACAAGTAGGATGTCTGAGAGATAGTAAGAACTGCCGATGCTGGAGTCAGAGATAACACAGTGCGGAGCTGGAGGAACACAGCAGGCCAGGCAGCATCAGAGGAGCAGGAAAGGATGTTTCAGCTCAGGACCTTTCTTCAGAAGAATATCACGACCTGAAACGTCAACTTTCCTGCTCTTCTGATGCTGCCTGGCTTGCTGTGTTCCTCCAGCTCCACAGGATGTCTCTGTGCTTCTAATTATTAGAATATTTAATTATTTTCTATGTTAGTCTTAATCTTAATCTCTAATATCTTATGTTTTGCTTACATTTCAATGATGATGACTGTAGCATTTTACAGTCTCGATCTCCCAGTGTGGTTGTTCTGTGATCATGCTGTCCTAACCTCATTGTGTGGGCTTTTTATTCATTCATGGGAAGTTAGTGTTGCTGTTGCTGGATCATCATTTATTGCCTATTCCTTATTGCTCTGGAGACGGCTGAGATGAGCTGCGTTCTTGAACCACTTACTGTAGTCCTTGAGACACCTACAATGAGGCTGAGAAGGAAGTTTTGAGGGTTTTAACACAATGACAGGAAATGAACAGTGAGATGCATAGTCCTGACCGGGGTTGGGGGGGTTATGTGACTTGCAGGGAATGTTTTTTTTTTATATATGACAAAATGTCAACTTTCCTGCTCCGCTGATGCTGCCTGGCCTGCTGTGTTCCTCCAGCTCCGCACTGTGTTGTCTCTGACTCCAGCATGTGCAGTTCTTACTATTTCACAGACATCCTGCTTGTTTTCAAAATGCATTAAGGAATTCAAGCATTCCTTTCTGGTAATGTGGTTGAAATAATGATTTTTAACTTAAAGTTAAAAGATAACATGTAGAAGCAGTAATCTATCAAGCCCTATTAAGTCTGCTTTGCTATTCAGTGAGATGGCAGATCTGATAATCTTCAAGTCCTGGTTGCTGGATAGTGGGTGAAATCAGTGATGTTAATGCTGTTGAACTCAAAGAGACATTTGGTAGATTCTCTGTTGTTGGAGGTGGTAAAGTTTACCAAAAAGATGCACCAGAAAGCTGTCCATTGCCATCATATCCATGCCAACTATTGTTGAATGAATAAAGTTAGCTGTGTGAAAGTGCTTAAAACTGAGTATGTCAATGATTTCCAAACACATCAAACATTAGGCCAATCAGAAAATGCTCAGTAAGTCAGGCTGCATCTGTGGAGTGAGAAAGTGTTAATGTTTTCAGTCAACATCTTTTCATCCGAATCCGTGAACAGTGTGGTGTGAGAGAAGGCAGAATAAGAGGTTCTCACATGAAATAAACGCTTCTAATATTTAATATAAATGTTGCTCTTTCTGAAGGGGAGTATGTTGCTGCAGTACACTTCTACCAGCATTCCAATAACATACTAAATTAAGTTCTGAAATAATGCAGAACAGAAGGTGGCCATTCAGTCATTAATCTCACCTCCCTGCTGATCCTGTGTAAATTTTAATAGCAAATGCTGGCGAGCTGTTTAATTTTGAGGCATGAACCTGACCCATTCTCCGATCCAATCTACATGTTAAACATTCATCACAGACTATAAGTAGAATCCATAAACCTGATGGATCAGGATTTATAGCTTAAAATTTTTTATGGTTTGTAAAATGTTTTACATCATTTCCTCTTGAATGCTTAACATTTTGTTTTCTTTCTTTTTAGCTTTGTGCTTGCAATAAAAGATTTGGCCTCTGACTGTTTAGCAGCTGAGAACAGAAGTCAAGTGGTTGTAATTAGTGACCTGTCGAAGAAACTGACTGAAACCATCAATCTGGAAAAGTCTCTGGAAAAGTGAGTGCTGAAGGGCTATTGCTGCTCTATTTCTATTGCTTGTTCCTTTGCCCTCTTTTGTGAAGATGTTGTTTCCCTGCTTGGAACAGTTCCATGAGGCTTAGCTGATCATATCTGATACATAAGATGGTTTTGTTTGTTGGTCGTTTATCTCAGCTACAGGACATCCAACATCTTCAGCTGCTTCATCTGTGACCCTCGCTCATTATAAGGTCAGAAATGGGGAAGTACGCAATCACGAGTGAAATGTTCTAGCATTTCCCCGGAGTCCAAGGAAGACTGAAATATTATGGCCCATGATTTTGAGATTTCTGCTCTCACTTTTGTCAAAATCCTGGGATGCTTCCAATTCAGTCTCTGTGCCTTGTTAAAATTAAGTGCCAAAAATCTCTCAACGTTGACTTCCATATTAATTTTGAACCCTTCTATTGACCTTTTGCATTAAAGGGAATATGCCTCAACTGTATCCAAACCATTTACTCCTTCAAGGTGGTTCAATTTCTGACCTTCCTGACCCTCTTGTTCCAATCAATCCTGCTCAATTCTGTTCTAGCCTATGGAAGTCAACGCTTGCCAATTGATTCTTTTTGCTCTGTATTGTTGCATGTTATTCTCCAATACAACCTGAATCTTATGAAACAATGATCTCTGTCCCCAAAATATCCCCCCACTGATACTTGATTCACTAGGCCCACTACCTTTCAAAGGATCAGGTCCAATGATGCATCCTTCCTTGTTGGACTATTGTAGGAAACTGTCCCTATACATTCCAGGAACACTTGACCCTCACTGCCATTTACACTACCACTATCCAGGCTACATTTGGGTAATTGAAGACCCCTGTTATAACTGTTCTGTCATGCAAACAATTCTCTGAAATTTCACTGCAGGTTGTTCCTCTACATCCTTTACACTAGTTGGTGGTCTGTAGACCACACCAAACAAAGTAATTGCACCCTTTTTAATCCATTGCTCTGGGTAAATTGACTCCAGCCTTGAACGCTCTGAGACATCTTACTTCTCCAGCACTGCAATGCAATCCTTAACCAACACTGCTACCTCTCCGTCTTTCTTTCCTTTTCTATTTTTCCCTGAATAATTTATACTACACCCTTGCTAAATTAGTTTGAAGCGCTCCCAATGGCACTAGCAAAACACACTGCGAAGACCTCAGTGCTCAGCACCCCCACTCCTCCCAACCCCCGCCTGTCGGAAGAATGTACCTGCTCTGCAACATCTTTGACCCTGCCACCAGACAGGCACCATACAATCCTGGAGTCACATTTGACAACCATGGACATACCTGTCTGTTCCCTAACCAATGAATCCTTAACGTTATTGTTGCTCCTTTTATCTTCCTCTCCCCTCCTGAATAGTCAGACTGCTTGTGATGCTCGAAGCTTGGCTCTGTCTGCAATCCCTTAAGGAACTAGGCGCACTCAAAACAAAACACAAAAGAGAAGTATGGCACAGGAACAGGTCTTTTGGCCCTCCAAGCCTGCACTGATCATCGTGCTCTGACTAAGCTGAAAAACAAACATCCAGCCATCATTTGTTCTGTATCCCTCTATTCCCTCCCTATTCATGTAACCAACCAGATGCCTCTTAAATGTCGCTAATGTGCCTGCTTCCACCACCAGCTCTAGCAGTGCTTTCCAGGTTCCTACCATTCTCTGCGTGAAAAACTTTCCTCGCACATCTCCCTTAAACTTTTGCCCTTTCACCTTGAACCTGTGCCCCCCTGGGGAAAAAGCCTGACTATCCACCCTATCTATGCCTGTCATAATTTTGTAGACCCCTATCAGATCTCCTCTCAGCCGCCGTCTTTCCAGTGAAAACAATCCTAGCCTTTTCAACCTTTCCTCATAGCCAATGCCCTCGAGACTGGGCAACATCCTGGTGAACCTTCTCTGCACTTTCTCCAAAGCTCCTACGTCCTTCTGGTAATGTGACGACTACAGTTGCACACAATACTCCCCTTGTTAGGCTGCATTTGTTTCATGTAGCTGCAACACGTTTTGCCAACTCTTGTACTCCATGCCCTGGCTGATGAAGGCAAGCATGCAATATGCCTTCTTAATCACGTTCGCCACCTGTGTTGCCACTTCTAGTGGACTGTGGACCTGCACACCCAGATCCGTCTGTATGTTAATGTTCCTAAAGGTTCTGCCATTAACAGTATAATTCACACCTAAATTTGATCCTCCAAAATGCATCACCTCGCTTTTGTCTGGATTAAACTCCATCTGCCATTTCTGTGTCCAAGTCACCAATCTATCTATATCCTGTTGTATCCTTTCACAATCGTTGGCACTGTCAGTAACTCCACTAACCTTTGTGTCATCTGCAAACTTACTAATCAGACCACCCACATTTTCCTCCAGATCATTTATGTATACTACAAACAACAGAGAACCTAAGACAGATCCCAGTGGAACTCCACGAGTTACCGGTCTCCATTCTGAAAAACACCCTTCCACCGCTACCCTCTGTCTTCTAAGACCAGGCCAGTTTAGTATCCATCTAGCCAGCCCACCTCAAATCCCATGTGATTTTAGTTTCGTGCCAATCTGCCATGTGGGACTTTATCAAATGCCTTACTGAAGTCCATATAAACTACATCCACATCCCTTCCCTCATCAGTTATCCTTCAAAAAATTTGATGAGGTTGGTGAGACATGACCTTTCCCATACGAAACCATGCTGCCTTCTGCTAACTACTCCATTTTCTCATTAGCTTCCAATTTGGAAAACAGACTTGTAAGCGAGATCCCAGGGGACTCCTGTACTATCTGCCTGTTTGTCTTTGACTGCCTGGTGCTCACCCATTCCCTCCCCCCCTCCAGTTCCCTGAGCTGCATTGTGACCACTTCTCTAAACATGCTATCTACATACTCTCAGACTCATGGACGTGCCACAGTATCTTTATCTGTCACTTGAGCTCCAAAACACAAACTCAAGTTTCTGCAGCTGGAAGCACTTCCAGACAGCCAAATGTGCAGGGACACTGCTAGGTACGATAGCTTCCACATATTACAAGTCACATCTTTCACTCAGCTGACCTTAACTGCCGTGTTTTAAACTTGAACTTACTTTGTCTTTCTTGCTGATTTTTCTAATTGCTTTATTTTAAAGATACTCTCCTCCCCTTAACTTTAGCCTCCTTCTCTTATTCTAGCTTTTCTTATTATTACTCTTATTTATTACTTATCCCACTCCATATTCTGACTCTTCTACTTATCCTTTTTTTCCTGGAGTGTATCCTATAAGATGTGGAAAAGAATATATCGTATAGTTTTAAAGTGATGTGCAAAGGAAAGAAGGGTAATGTGAGAAGAAAGCTTGCTCATAATGTGAGTAGTTCGGCTATGGAATGAATTGCCCGAAAAAGTGGAGGCAGTGGATTTGTTTCAGGCACTCAAGAGGGCATAGGATAGAAATGGTGTGTAATGATGAGGCGAAATAGCAGAAGATTGGCAGTAGGTAATGTTGCTCATTTGAGGTGGTGGTGCAGGCACAATGAGCCTCATCCTGCGCCATAATGATTCTGAATTGGTATGCATCGCTGCATACTTGTAGAGAGAGGAATGCTTAAAATGGTAGTTGATGTACGAATCAAGTGGTCTGCTTTTCTGTTGGATTGTGGAAAGCACCTATTGCAATTCTTTGCTGACATTATTGGCCTCCAGCAATTGCAACCATCCTTTTTGATAGATTTAATTTATTATTGTCACTTGTAAAACGTTTTGTTATGCATGCAGTACACGCAAATTATAACATACAAAGCGCATTAGGGTAGTAGAACAGAGCAAAGAATACAATATTACGGCTGCAGCGAAGGCACACAGAGAGCGAGACCAACATTAAATTTAAAATTTTGAGAGATCCATTCAGATGTCTAATAGCAGGGAAGAAGCTGTTTTTAAATCTATTTGTATGTGTATGCAAACTTTTATATCTTCTGCCTTGGTGGAAGAGTGTGGAAAAGAGTATAACACAGGTGGCAGGGGTCTTTGATTATGTTGATTGCTTTCCTGTGGCAGTGGGAAGTATTGTTGGAGTCAATATATGGAAGTCTGGTTTGCGTGATGGACTGGGCTGTATTCACAACTCTCTGAAGAAGGGTCCAGACCCGAAACATCAGCTTTCCTGTTCCTCTGCTGCCTGGCCTGCTGTGTTCATCCAGCTCCACACCTTGTTATCTTATACTGAGGATAGAGTTTGGAGGCAATTTGCTGGATTGGATTTGTCTTGCTTTTTATTGGACAGGACATACCTGGGTAAATTTGCCACATTGTTGAGTTGATGCGTTGTTGCAGCTGTGTTGGATAGATTTTCAGCACTACAGCTGGGATTTTGTTTGGGCCTATGGCGTTTGCTGTATCCACTATGCTCAGCCGTTTTTTATAGAAGGAATAAGCATCTCATCCAAACATCTTTCACCAAACGCTTCTGTCAGCATAGTTTGCTTCTTGCAGTTAATATTTATTTAAGTCACCTCTTTCCCCCTCTGCACTGAGTTCCCAATTGGAAGCAAATTCCCAGATATGCTTGCTCAGCCTTTGTCTCTGCCTCACACTGACTTTTTCAACAGCTTCACTGTGCAAAAGATTCCTATTTCCTAATTCTGAGATAACAAGGTGTAGAGCTGGATGACCACAACAGGGCAAGCATCATCAGAGGAGCAGGAAGGCTGACGT